ATATGATCAGATTTTGGTAAGTGGGTCATGCCCAAAACTATTTAGCATACATTCGTATCTCCGAATGAAATATAGCTATGTATAACAATACAAGACTGAATATATGGTGATAATGAAAGGTTCTCAGCCTGACCCACTTCTCCAAATCTAACAAAAAGACCAAACATTTATTTTCGAACAGTTTCTTGGTCAGGATGAGAACTTTTCAGCATCCGAAAACTTTACCAACATAGGTTGGTTAATATCAACATTGCCTTGCATAATAAAATGTAAAAACAATCTAACAGTCAAGGTAGATTTTTTTCACCTCATGCAAGACAGTAAAGCCACTAAGATACAAAGGGGGAAATAATTAGTCATAGAAACATTACTAATGAGCGGGAACAAAAAGAGTAATCAGGAGGACAGTAGATAGCGATTTGACATTGCATTTAAATTGTTGAAGAGTAGGGATTGACTGGAAAGCATGGAGCCGGAAGAGAGTTCCACAAATAGAATTTACGGTTACATCTAGCCAGTTCAGGTGTAAAGTGATGAGATCTTGACGCCAGTCTAGTACTGCGCTTAAATTTATAAAGTCTAGGTACCATAGCGAAGAGCTCATCGGAAGAGTTACCGTTAAAGTAATTATAAAAAAAGGTACTGAAGCCGAGCCACCAGATCAGGACCAGTAATATTGCTGATTCTTCTTTGGATTTTATCAAGGAGCTCAAGGTAAATAGCAGGATCACTGGACCATATATGGCAGCAATATTCTAAGCATGCACGAATGGTAGAGTTGTAGATATATAAGATAGATTCTTGAGAGAAAAATTGTTTCGCGCTACACAGTGAACCAACTTTCTTAGCAGCTGACCTAGCAATGCACTTTTGCATATATGACAGTATACATAATGCTTAAAATTGCAGAGTTGACTGGTGAGAAAATAGTCATAACTAATGAATATCCAACATATTTACAAATCTATGAACTATCCCCAACTACATTATAATTCATAATAGGTATTGGTCTTAGTATATTTGTACCCCAGCATCATTTTGATGGTGTGCTCCTCTCTCTCATAATGATAATAACAGCAATATTATAATTCTGCTTGTTCTTGCGTTCCTTAGCACGATCGTTACGCCCTGTCAGTACCTCATAAATGATGGCCTATTCAGGTTTGATCGTGAGGAAGACAGAAAAGACATATCTAAGACGCTGTTTGGATTCGGTGAGAAAAAGAAAGAAGATAGTGGAAAGGATAAAGCTGTCATGTGTTTAACGCCTGCTTCAGTGCAAGGAAAAAATTGTTGATACTAATAAGACTTGTAATAATAATAATAATAATAATTAAGGCAAAGAAGAAGAAAGTTTCTCTGCTTGTCGATCTGGCTATCCTAGCTGACCACAAAGAAGAATTGAAAGAAAGCAAAAAACTCGATAGATATCTAAACCTCTCAAAGAGAGTTGAGAATTGTAGAAAAGTCTGTCCATTATTGTTGGGTACTTTGAATGGAGGTCCAAGATTGAAAACGCCCAGACGACAGGACTTCTGAATTATTAAGGAGAGTTCTAGAATATTGACGAAGCTTGCTGTTACTAAATCTCCATGGATACACAGTAAACACCTGTGTAAACATGGAATTACATAGATAAATGAAAACAGTTTTCTAAGCTTCTGGTTAACAAGTGGTTGATGCTGTTCATTCTTGTAAATTTTAAAATCAATTTAGATTAAAATAGATTTTCTTAACCTTAATTATTTAAAGCATCTTTTTTCAATGTGACTGATTAAACAATAACGTCTATTCTCTTTACGAACCTGACACTGACCAAGAAAACTAATTAAAACTACTTTCAATATTTATTTTGTTATTCTAGTTGCTTGTTAATAGTCTATCTCTATATAAAATTCTGTGACTTCTGTTAGTCCGTCCGTCCGTCACACCATCTAAAATAGCCATACATTGACCGATCGGAACCAAATTTGGGGGAGAAGTGCAAACAGGTAAGGGGGTACAAAATACAGTTGGTTTTACTAGGTTGCGTATCTTAGTACAAGAAATTTTCATTCATTTTTTCTGAAAAATTAAGTTTTATTGTCTAACATAAAAAAAATACTCGCACTATTTTAAAAACAATTTCATGGCTAAAATAACAACAACTTATCTAATAAAAATGCAATATTGTTTTTTTTCATATCTTTTCTTTAAGCTTTTATATACAATAATCCAGTTTTCAGTTCGCCCTGCGTTTGCGAGAACTACAAACAACTCACAAGGTCAAATGCTTAAAAACGTTGGAATTTGGCTCCAGAAAGATATATTTAAGCATGGCCAGTTGTATGTTGCATGTTCAAGAGTAAGAAATACTTAGAATTTATTCATCGCTGTTAAAAAGGGAAAAATAAATTTTCCTAAAAAATATTGTTTACCATAAATTAATTAAATTAAATTAAAGAAATTATTAAACTACAAAGTAGGGTTTCTGTAAATTATTTTTCCAAACAAAGCTTCATCGATTGGTTTGCGGAAATTGAATGGAATATAAAGTTTGTAAATCTCGACAAAAATGTCAGCGATAACTTCGACAATACTAAATACTATGAGGACTTCAAGAAAAAAATATAGGTATTATAAAACGCACTAATTGCTGATTAGGCAACAAGACTGCATGAATAACCTTTTACGAGAGATTTTCATCTAAAATATAATTTATGAAAATTTAAATATTTTTTAGGCTATTAATCTCTTTTCTAAAAACTGAGATTCCTGTGTTAGATATAGCACTTAATCTGTGTAGTATATAAGGAATCGGATTCGGAAAGGGTCAATTTTATAATGCAACAACACGACCATTATAGGAAAGATAGGAATAGTATAGTAGCTCATGCAAATCAAATAAAGCCTATTATGAAGAGGTGAAGGATAAAGAGCTTTCCATAGGCATTTCCAGTTTTGATCTTGCAGACCAACAAGGAAACATGGCCCTACTGAATGAAACAAAATGAAGAAATGGTGATCGAGAGGTTGAATAGGATTTCGAAACATCCGACAAAGACATACAAATGGAAGAAGAATACTCCGAGTATAAAAAAGATCGAGATCTCCAAGAGAAAGAAACACATTAAGATCTCAGATGGGGAAAGAAGGAAAGTAAATAAACACGGTATAGAAGAAGCACAAAATCTACAACGGGTATAAAACTTCAACGTTCCCGGGAGAGGTAGTTATATACAATAAATCCCCGGGTTACGACAGTCCCGACCGACGACGATTCGTTGTTACAACACAATCTCCATTAATCATGTTTCGATTTATGCCATTTGCTTCAAACATAGTCAGTTCCTGGTTGTACGCCATATTGATTTATTGTGCTTATTATGCTGAGAATACCATGGACTGAACACTTGAGCAACGACAAAGATACGTAGCACCAGAAAGCGACAGTTGAAATTTCTAGGGCATATAACGAGGAAAGGGGGCTTGGAAAATTTGAAACTCAAATTGAAAGAAAGATGTACAGATGAAAACAGCGCATAACCTATCTAACGATTTTCTGTAAATATTAGGCGGAGGTATAACAACTTTACTGGGAACTACAATAGACAGGAAGTTGTGGAGAATCATGATCGCCTACGCTCTGAATGGACCAGGTATATACAAGAATAACATCACATTAGTAGATATACTAAGCAACTTGTGAATACAACTGATACAATTTAACACTTCACAACAGGCTGGCTCAATAACATCCCAAGCATGATTTTAAAATATCCATTTAGCAAAGAATGTTTCTGAACAAAGTGTTAACAGGTAACCTACAAGTGAGGGTATCTAATGGTCACCCTGCGCAGAAGAATGCAGCACAATGTCAGCCCACACATGGGAAAATCTGTAGATCTCCGTAATATTGGATTTTATAAACACTGACTGTGCAATCCGTGGAGGGAAAAAGTATTGCATTTTGACCAGAAAGACAAATGTGTAAATCTGAGCAAGAATGACTCATTTTTATGTCCTATTCAAACCAGTCACTGATGTAGGCGGCATTTATTTATATCTTTTATAATTTACTATTTTTTTTTATTTTACAACGAAATGCGATCATACACGCATGCATATATATATATATATATATATATATATATATATATATAATTCTCAAAATGTGTGTGATCGGATGTTGTTTATGCATTTCCACAGTTTTCATCCAATTTTGATGATTTTTTTTTGTTTGATAGATAATTCTTCAGTACCGGTATTGAGTCCAGATTGTTGGTGACAATGGCTCTCCACTACTTCCTGTTCATTATAACTCTCAGCAACGTTTTTCCATTTACTATCTGTTCTTGGATATATATCTTTGATAAAAAAAAAACTAATAAAAATAAATAGTTTAAATCATTGCAATAATATTTTTTTTATTATAGTTCCCTTTTCAGGGTCTCCCCACATTTGGGGATGTGCCTCAGTAGCACCCAAACGTTGTTACTAGTATCGATTTTAGGGTGTGCTAACTGCTCCAACTGAACGGCAAAAATTCCCAGTAATGAAAGACAGGTTATACTGCTAGTATATAACGCAATATTTATTCAAATATATATATTTGAGCATATACCTATAACAGACGCATTTCTACGTCACCAGAAGAGTCTACTACAGGATCAATGCGTAGTATCTGATCTTCTCATTTTACAAGAGAGAAAGCGTCTGGTAACTCCAAACATGCGACAGAATCGCCATCACTTCACTAAAAGATTGATTGATTCTTTTTCTAGGGTTTATCAACACTTTGCAGTTTATTTAAACCAGAAAATATTTTTAGACCGTAAATTTGGGGGGGGCCTTAGATAAGAATGGTTTAGTGATACAAGTTTTGCTAATTAAGCCATAACTGTGTGGAGAAGAGGTAGATTTGCGAGTAAGTGAGTATAAAGAATCTAACGTGAATTAGAACCCGTCTCCCCGATTAACAATTCTGAGCCATTATCCATTACACCACCCGCACATCCCAGCTTACAGTATCTGGTATTCTCAAGCGGTCACCCATCCAAGTACTGGCCAGGCTCGTCGTTGCTTAACTTCGGTGATCGTACGAGAACCAGTGTTTCAACATGATGTGGCCGTAAGCCTTGCACTAAAATAGAGAGGGTCGGTGGAATATCGGTGCCTGAATGACAGTGATCACGAGGAATGGATATTTTTTTTGGATTAATCGAAGGCAGGCTCATATCAAAAATATCATGTCACGTCTTACCATGGGAGGGCGAGTAAATTACCTTTAACTATTTGGCTTTTCAGGTTACGTAAAAGAAATGTTATATGATTATAATTTAAATATGTGATTTTCCAAGCGTAACTTAGATGTGGCACAAGGCCGAAAGTATGGGGCACCAGGTGAGGATCGAACTCACTCCTCAGTCGTAATTGTTCTATCGAGAAAAGCTCGCTAATCATTACACCGCCTCGAGGTGCCCTATTAAATGAAACTGCGATTGGCTTTGTAGATAAAAAAAAAAAAAAAAGAAAAAAAAAGCTTTTAAAGTATTTGTTTTCGTCTATCGGCCTGAATATTCGAGAAATCATATTAGAGAAAAATATGCGCTCTCTAATAAGATTTCTCGAATATTCAGGTCGGCAGACGAAAATAAATAAATATACTCTTTAATAAATAAATGAAGAGTCTTCTCAAATACAAGTATCCACTAAAAATAATGCATAAGTAACAAAATTTGTCCGATTAATGAATAAAAAATCCATCCCTTTCTTTAGAAGTATATCTATCTGTGTGTGTGTGTGTGTGTGTGTGGGTGACGCGTTTCGTTCTTTTGGACTTTATCGGACTACTAAAGTGAGGTTTCGTTGATGTAACTACACATGCGCACGAAGGGGGAAGGGATGCTGACATTTTAAATTAACGTCTTTTTCAGATGTGTTTAAGTATATAGTCTTGGTAATTTCATTTAGTTTCTTTTTGCTTTTATCACATTGTTAAAATAGAAGATCTGCCATGAAAGTTAAAATCTAAGAACTTGGACGCAAATTTTCTGTGGATGACGTGGCGATTAAAGCACTTTCTATAAACTTTCGTCAAATTAAATTGCTTTCTGTTTTAATTAAAGTAGCAATTTTTAAATCGAAATTATGATCGTCAGACTCATTAGTCAGCAACCGAAACATTTTGCATGTTGTTTTGTAAAAAATTCCTTTTGTGTTCATATAGTATTTTATTTAAATTCCTTAAGGTTTCTCCTATGCATTCCTTGAAACAATTATTACCGGTGATAGAATAAATAACTCCTTTTAGTTTTATCTTCTTACTATTAATACGTTTATTGCTTTAGAAGTAGTCCTAACAAATTTTATGGTGAGCTTAAGTAAATTATTTTAAAATGTAGTTGTGATAGAGTTGGTAATTAGAATAAAATATATTTCGATTCATTGGGTTTGTCAGAATAACACTTCTATTTTAAAATATTTTATAAGACTTTCGTTCCACGTTGAATATGAAATAATCAGGGTACTGGAGCCCTAACATTTTACATTACGGATAAACTATATATATATATATATATATATATAGCTGGTCACTCGTATTCGAGGATACCAGTCTTACTAGGGCGGCTAGCCAATCAGACGCTCGCTCAGGCACATTTGTTTATGCACAACACCCACAGAGCCCACTTGTGGTTTATACTGCAACTATGCTGAGCAGACCTTAATTACAGTTTCTGGGAGATAATTCGTTATCTAGCGTGATCAGCAATCTGAACAAGACCAGCACACTCAAACCCTCGGTCATGATGACTTGTGAATTTGTGCTAGCACAGCTATCGACGGTCCCCCAAGTTTCCCGTCTACCCAATTTCACTCACAAGGTTTGGGTCACTTTTCAAAGATGCCGCACGCCCCTCCTCCAAACCGATAACACCAGGAAGTCCTCTTCCTGACAAATCAGATTCGAACCCGGGTCTCATGGTCAGAAACCACTCGGCCAATATATATATATATATATATATATATATATATATATATATATATATTTTTTTTTCGTATCTTCTGTCTTATGAGAAGGTTTATTTGAATTTGTTTTACCGAAAAAGTTACAATGATTTGGTTTAAAATTTGTTATGAAACTAGTACTACAGGAATTCCTACAGAAGGTAGTAAAGAAAAGCGTGAAAAAAAAAGAAAAAAAAAAGACTAAGCATTAATTCTAAGAAGTCTTCTCACTTTACTAATACATTTGAAAACAGTTCTTCGCAATATATATAGGTATAAAAAATTAAAAACATGTCAAACAAGGAATTTCATTTTTTTAGTAACATTAACAGCTATTGTAATGGATATCGGCGTGAAAACGGTTAGCAGAGTTCAAATCCTTTGTTAGTTTGTTGCAATCATTTTCGCACAAATGTACTTCGGAAAGGCATGAATTTGTCTTTTTTGCATCAATCTATTGGGTAAATAGCAGGATAGACTGAACTCTATAGCTCTTTCTCACGTGGCAGCTAGTCCAAAATTCTGAATTCCGAACAATAGGAAAGGTGACGGGTAACCACTCCATTATCTTTCCCAAGAATGTATGGTACTAGCAACTCGGGCAGTCGCCCGGGGCGCCATCAAGGCCGAGGGTGCTATAATGCCGCCTTGTCATGTGTTTGGGATCTTCCAAAAACTAAAGCTACTTTAGGTCGTCTTTGACTCAAGACAGATTAAATTCTTTGGCTTTTTTTTCAATAGAAAATGATTTTCTAAAGAAGAAAATGCCATGGAAAGATTTGCAGATCTAAATCCTAAAAAAAAACACATTTTAGGTAGGATAATGTATGTTTTCTTTAGCTTGTGTTAAGTTGAGGTGATTTTCCAAGCGCATCTTAGATGTGGCACAAGGCCGAAAGTATGGGGCACCCAGTGAGGATCGAACTCACTATTCAGTCGTAATTGTTCTAGCGAGACAAGCTTGTTAACCATTACACCGCCTCGAGGTGCCACTTGTGTTAAGTTGTATCTTGTAATAAACTCGTTATTCTACATTTTCAGTTTCTCCCCTTGTGAAAATTTAAAAAAAATATATACTTTTAAGGAACCCCAGGGCTGGCCATATTCACAGATAATAAAGAAAAAAAAATCTATGAGGAGTTCTGACCGCCTATGTCCTGGAGGGAGATGGTCTTAAAAATACTCTTTTTTAAATTCTCGTTTGAGAAATGTTTGCACAAAGGTAAATGTACGAGGTAACGGTGCTAGTATAATGTTACATTCACCAGGAAGTTCCTTAAGTATTTACTTCTAAATTCTTCATTGCGTTGACATATCATGGCTCTCCACAATTTCCTGTCCTTTGTAGCTCTTAATTAATTTTGTCTTTTTGTTATCTCTCTTAAACCTTCTGCCATCCATACATTCAAGCTCGCTAGGTAGGTTATACGTTATTACCACTGTTCTTCTTGCTTTTAATCTGTCCTCTGTGTATCAAATTTTCCAAGCCCTCTTTCCTCATTATGTCCCCTAGAAATTTCAACTGGCACTTCCTGATGATAGAAACACAAAAGTGACTTATAACTATTTTCTCTAAAACTTCATCGTTCGTTCCACGGCGCTCTCACCATACGTCTGTTTCTTCAAGTCTTTTCTTCATCTTTGAGGAGATTGTTCAGCATTCACTGCCACATATGAGAACTGATATAACCTAACAGTTCCATATAATTTTATTTGTTTCTAACGATATTTTTCTGTTTCTTAATACTTTGCTTAGCTTTTGGAAGGCATCTTCCGCTATACGAGTATGTGTAGCTTAATTTTGACAGAAGTTTGCAGTTATGGTGTACTTAGCGTAGACTGAACTTGCTACTCAGTAGTAACGATCCCTAACAGCAGCTTGCTAACAGTTATTCCATAGTGAGGCACCTTTGGTTGTTAGAAATAAATCATTTGTACGGATACAGAATGCATTTATCTACCTTTGGTGGAGATAAGTCACGTGGGTCACATGACGGCCGCTTAATGACATCATTCCGCACAGTGACCATAGCGGCAGTCAATTTCAGCTCGTTTAAAGCAGCCAGTCGAAAAGGTTGCTTTCTTTAGCTCGTGCTCCCCATGGCCCGGACAGAGGCTAAATCTGCCTACTCCCACTGCAGCTTACAAGCCTATGGTGCAGTTTTCTTTTGTGAATATACCTTTCCCAGATATAGAATGAAATTCCAGATCGCAGTCAAAAACGCGCTGTTTCCCATTTGTGGAATATGTCCTCGCGTGGGACATAGATGGATCCAGCCCGTTTGAATCTGGCGTCCAAAACATAGCTTTTTCAGACACAGTAGTATCTCCATATTATATGTAAGATCCTTCCTTTTTTTCTCCTTACACTTTGCTTTACTCTGTGTGTGTATATATATATATATATATATATATATATATATATATATATATATATATATATATATATATATATATATATAACAGTTATTATACTACGGAATTAATAATGCTTATATCGGGGAAACACAATGGAAGAATAAATCTTTAGTTCATGGCTCTCTCTCGGTTACACACTAATTCACTCGGCGAATATACAAGAATTAACAAGTCTAATAGGATTATTGGTTATTTGCTTTACTTTAATTGCTCATAAACGAAAGCTACCACCTTGTTTTGTAATTACTTTAGGCGAGGAGTCAAAGCGTCTTTTGTTTTAAGTATCCTAATTTAATATGTAAAGAATAACACAACGTACGATGAAGTGGCGGTATGACGTTTATACAATGAGGGAGGTCAAATAATCTCCGTCGACACGATTTTAATACTTGAATATATTCATTTAATAAGTAAACTATGGAAGAGATTTTCTTTTCTTAAATCTTCTGTTCATTTAGCAAACCAGAGTCGAGTGTATTTTTGTCCCTTCCTTAAATTCATACAAATATTTTAGTAAGACACGTGTAGACTGAATCGTTGGTAGAGTGGACTGAACGACAGACAAGTGTTATTGGAATTGATTAGTCATTTCTGTTAAAGCCGATCAATTGTCTAAATATAAAATACATCTCTTGTTTTGTCTATATTGATATAACAAACAGAGTGAAAGAAAAACAAAAGAAAGACAAACTAAAAACAGTTAAAAAAA